CACGGAGAGAAAAGGCGAGAAAGAAGACGATGAAGTGCTCGTAACAGCAGGTTTTATGTTTGATTTAACAGCAAACTAGACGTCGGCTCCCCAGGTGAACCGACGTCTATTCTGGCTAGACGTCGGGGCCTTCACTAATATGACGTCCAAAAACAACTTTTTATCTGCCCATTTAGACGTCAGATGTCGTGATCCGACGTTTGTACGGCAGAAAAAAATAACTTTTCATCAACCTGTCAGACATATACACGTCCGTTAGGAGGGGCACCAACGTCTATAATTGCATATGGACGTCGGGGTGGCGGGATCGGACGTCTCTAAGGCGGAAAAAAATGACATTTCACCTACCTGTCAGGCATTAAGACGTCGGTTAGGAGGGGTCTCGGCGTCTATAATATTATAGACGTCGGGACCTATCCTAACCGATGTCTATATGCCCACTTATTTACGAAAATGCTACCGGTCAATAATTTACGTTGGTTATTTTGTGGTCCGACGTCTAAGGGTGACGTTAAAGTCCAATTTTGTGCTAGTGTTGGGTTTATAGACCCCAAATTACAAATTTTCCCTTCTAATGGACTTCTACAAAAGATGCCCAAAAATGGCCTAAAGCTAACCTAAAAACGAAATTAAAAGAAATGTTGATATGGAAAATAATAAATAATGTGGTAGCTCTCTTTACGTCCCAATAATAATTCCAAAATTGTTCTGCAAATAATATTTGCAATAATTAGGCCCAAATCAATCAAATTAATTAAAATAAAAATTATTAGTCAAATTAAGCCTGAATAGTGAAAATGAGACAATAATTTATAATTAAACACAATTCACTAATACAAATTAGTGCAGAAAGCTAAATGAATAGTATAAAATAGTGATTCATCAAAATAGACCACACTTAGTCTTTTGCACTTCTCGACAAAATCAAGACGTAGAACAAGGAACAATTCAAAAGACACCAAGAAAGTGCACAACTTCCGGACAGAAAAAAAAATACACACAAGACACCAAACATATTTACACAATCCTCAATGAATCCTTAAAAGAGAAAAGGAGTAGACAACATCCAACACATAAAGAATCAGAGAAAGCAAATACTCATGGAAATCATTTAAACAATTCAAGACATGAAAAAATAATCAATCAGCTCAAAAGGTGAATCAAACTGAAAGTCAACAAGGAAAACACAATCAAATTACACCCATTTTGTGGTCATAACATCTCTCATCAAATTGAAAGTCAACATCTTTGTGCAACAATTTGGACAAGGGAAGCGCTTTCTTGCTAAAATCTTTGATAAAGCGCATGTAGAAACCTGCATGCCCAAGAAAAGGTCGCACCTCTCGCACACAAGAGGGGTAAGGCAATTGTGCAATAACAGATATTTTGATAAGATCTACTTCTATACCCTTGCTAGAAATGATATGCCCTAAAACTAAACCTTGTTCAACCATGAAGTGACATTTCTCAAAATTGTGAACAAGGTTGGTTTCAATGCATCCTTTTAACACTCTTTCCAAACTGTTTAAACATGTATCAAATGAGGATCCATAAACAGTGAAATCATCTACAAACACCTCTATGAAACTCTCTAGAAAATCACTAAAAATGCCCAACATGCATCGCTGAAAGGTACCAAAAGCATTGCATAGACGAAAAGGCATCCTCCTATAGTCAAAAGTGCCAAAGGGGCAGGTGAATGTGGTCTTTTCCTGATCCTTGGGTGTAATGTGTATTTGAAAATATCCAGAAAAACCATCAAACAAACAATAATGAGACTGACTTGTCAAGCTCTCATCATCTAATCAATGAAAGGCAGGAGGAAGTGATATTTCCTGTTTGCTTGGTTGAACCTCCTATAGTCAATGCAGACTCTCCTCCAGCTATTCTGCACTCTAGTTGGGATAAGCTCGTCCCTCTCATTCTTCACCATAGTGAGGTCAGTCTTCTTTGGCACAACATGGTTGGGCTCACCTATTGACTATCTGAGATTAGGTAGATGATCCCAGCTTGCAGAAGCTTTGTCACATCCTTCTTGATGACATCCAAAATCATTGGGTTTTGCCTTCTCTGCGGTTGTCTAACTGGTTTTGCTCCATCCTCCAGTAAAATCCTATGCATGCAAGTGGATGAGCTGATACCAAGGATGTTAGTCAAGGTCCAACCAATCGCCTTCTTGTGCTTCGTAGCAAACTCAACAACTTCTCCTCTTGAACAACATAAAGGAGGTGAAAATGATCACATGCTTCTTCTCATTATCCTTCAAGTACGCAAAGTTGAGGTTATCTGGAAGCGGTTTCAGCTTAGTAGTGGGCGTCTGCAAGTTAGATTCATCTATACTTCCTACAAAGTGGTTATTGCAATCTAACTCTAAAGAATTCACATGCAAAGGCATAACACCCATCTCATCAGACACAAAATCAATATCCATGACAAATACATCATCAATATCAAACTCCACATCAAAATCAACATAATTCACATATTCTTATTCAAACATAGATTCAATGCATGTATGCAAAGAAGCTAGAAAATAATGCTCTTTATCATGCAAAGAATCAAACTCATCAGTAGTATATTTCTTAACAACATCATCTAGAATATCAATTCTAAACACAGAATGGTCCTCAGTTGGAAACTTCATCACATCAAGAATGTTAAAATGCACTACAATATCACCAAATTCCATAGATAAAGTTCCAGCATACACATCAATTTTAGTTTGAGCTGTGTTTGAAAATGATCTGCCTAAAATGATGGGAGCGAACCCATGAGAGAATCTCTCCTTCATTTCCAAAACATAAAAGTCAGCAGGGAAAATCAATTCACCAATCCGAACCAAAACATCATCTATGTAACCTGTTGGGTGGGCAACACTTCTATTAGCCAATTGAATGACCACATCCGTAGGTTGCAGCGGACCAAGAGACAAATATTTATAGATTGAAAGAGGCATCACATTAATGGAGGCACCTAGATCTAGCATGGCATTTTCAAATTTACTATTCCAATAACACAAGGAATGCAAAATGTATTTGGGTCTTAACACTTTTTCAGGAATATGCGGGACCGACTTACCAATGAGTGCAGATACATTCCTACCCATGCTGATTCTTTCATTACCTTTCATCTTCCTTTTATGGGTACACAACTTCTTTAGGAATTTGGCATACTTTGAGATTTGCTTGATGGCATCAATTAGAGGTATGTTCACCTCTACTTTCCTGAATGTTTCCAAGATTTCTTTATCCACCTCTTTCATCTTTTTGCTAGGAATCATTTTGGGAGGGAATGGAAGAGGAATTGGTTGTTGTGGCAACTTAGAAGATGTATTAGTGCTGGTGGAAAAAGAAGAAGATCCACCTGAAGAGGAAGAAGAAGGACCACCTGCCTCAATTGTCCTGCTTGGACCTGCCTGGTCCTCTTTTCTCTGAAATGTAGCAATATCAGGCTGAGGTGAAAGTGTAGGTGCAGGAGGTGGCACAATAGTTATAAATGAAAAGGAGTAACCTTATGTGTGACAGGATGAAACTCATTCGCAATAGTTCTACATAGCAGTAGATGTCACCACAAATGTATACTTCTAGTGAATCTGATGTTAATGCATGTATCTAGATAATTGAGTCTAAAATATCTTGCTTGTGTGCATATCCTTATACATCTATGATTAAATTGTATCAATAACATTACTTATTTGGTATTAGATAACTCTTTGGTACATTAATTTACCCTTTGTTTGTTTATCTCTTTTGCAATGATTATCTACCGGTGTGAGCAGATGAAGAAGTAGGTCACGATGTGCCTTTGAAGAAAGGTAATGATGCTATTGTGCAATTTTCTTAATTTAGAGTGGTTTTGTGTACAGGAGTTTTTGAGAAGCTTTAGACGTATATTTGTATTCTAGTTATGTTTATTCTCTTAGTATATATGTTTTATTATCAATTTTATAATCTTTATTTAATAGTTTTATACTATTATATTAAATGTTTCAATAATCTTCTAATCTTTTGATAAATTTGATAAGAATACTTATTATCTTGAAGTCCTTCAATTGCACAACTAAACGGACTTCACAACTAAACATGTTAGTTGATTCAACTGCACAACTAAACATATTAGTCAATTAATAACATTAACTTTCATAACTTAATAGATTTTGTAATCATCGAAATCACTTAGCAAACTTGTCTAATGGGATATAGTATCGTCCGGTCCTAGCAAACGCAAGTTCCAAAACAATGGTTCCATGACATGAACTTTAAAACAAACCCTCATATATGAAATAAGATACTAACTTTAAAACTATGTACATATCATCTAATCATATAAATGTTTATCAAACATAGAAACAACATATACTAACATGATTTTTTGTCTTTAACAAAACTTTACATGTATAAAGTATAATAATATTTTATTGTTCAACACTTAAACAAACTATGAGAGTTTAACTTTTCCTTAAATAATAATTACAAAATAAAATATCTATTTTTATTAATTAATTGATTTTTCAATAATTTGTGAACTAAAAATATTTTTACATAAAAAACTTTCTAAGATACATAATGAATTGGTGAAGGAAGCTGACATATAATTTATTAAAAGTTTTACATAATAAAATATTGATAAAATGTTTTGAATCATAATCATTTTATCCAAGTATACTTATTAATATTTATCATTATAATATTTATATAATAAGATGAACTACAAATATTTATAAATTTAAAAAATTTATATTATTAATAATTTATTAATATATTTATATAGTCTAATAACATTAAAATAATAAATTAATTATATAAATTTATTAATGAAAATACCTTTTTCCATTTATCGTATTTATTAAACTAAACATAAATTTTGTATTCAATTTCAGCCCTACATCCCTTAATCTAAGAACCTTGGTGAATGGAATCGATTAGTATGGATTAATGAACGGACCACCAATACTAGTCATGGTTCCCTCCCTTATCATTCGCGTGCCATCTTTCTCGCATATTAAGCGCTGAAACCGACGTACACACCTGTCCCCATTTTCTCTCTCTTCCATGTCTTGTCTATTCTCACTTTCTTCCTCTCTTTCTCTCTCTCTCTGCTCCATTTCAGTGCTGTCTTCTCCCCACCACCCCACTCTCCCTTTCTCTCACACTCATCCTATCATCATCATCATCGTCGTCCTCAACATGCCATCCCTTTTGACCCTCCTTCTTCCCTTCTGTCTCAACGCCGCCGTTTCATTCACCTCAACATGCTGTTGATTATTCATCCTTCCAACTCTCACTTTCCCCACTTCTTCTCCTTTGCCTTCCCCCATCTGGGTATGCCCTACTTTCTGCATCCTTAGAAAAAGATTCATTTTTTTTTACTATCTCCACTGTTCGTTCCTTCGTTCGCTGCTTCACTTTTCAATGCACTCACTGTTCTTTTTATTTTGAAAAGGGCTTCTTATTTTACTTTTAAATAAGCCAAATTGAGCACGCGCTTGATTTAAGTTACTCGATGATATGAATTTAATGGATAAAAAATTGCGACAACGGGGTATATTGTATTAGATAATTCGTTTTTAAAAAAATGGATTTCGGTTGGCTGTTTTCTCATTGTTTTCTGGAATTCTTGATTTCGGAGCTGATACATTTCACCCTTTTTTTTGTTTTTTTTTTTCTTTTTTATTAGTTATTTTCATCTGTGTCCATGTGCAATACAATTGCTGGGGGGCTTACTCTCACTGAATGCTTCTTTTTTTCATGTGTTTTTTTTAAGTTAATTTCACTAAAGTTGGTTCCTGCATTTCTCAGGGCTAATGTTAAACTTCAATGTATGATTATTCATCTAATCACTTGGGTTTTCTAGATGCTTTCAATTATTAGCGGTGGTGATTTTAGTTCATGGTTCTTTATCATGTTGCTATGTTAAACTAATTCAAAATTCTCTATTATTTCAATTGAAACTCTTAGTTTTCAAATTTCCGTAAATTAAACTTCTTGGTAGTGGGAGGTGTTGTTTTTGCATATTGCTGTTTGCTCAATAACAAAGGCTAGAAATTGATTCATGCAGACAACTTAATGTGGTCGTCTTCTTGTTGTCTAATTGCAACTAATGTACTAACTTCTGAGCAAAAAAACTATGATACATTAATACTTTATTGCTTTCGCTAATCTATTTTGGACTATTAGATTTCTACTGGTAAAATATTATAACACTCGCACCTAGGTAGCGATTGTGGTTTCATCTTGGTACTTAGCTAACTGCATTGAAGTTATTCGTTCTCCAGGTTTATATGTTCTTTTCATTTTTCTTCTTTCTTGCTAAATATTTTTCATGCTGGTTAGTTGATTTTATATTTTATACATCCCTGCACATTTAATACTTTATCCCTCAAGTATGTGTAAAGAATGTAAACAAAAAATTTCTGCCATATGTTTGCCATTGCCATATGGACTCTGATTTTTGTAATGTTATGGTCTATTGTTTCGCTGCAATGCCATTGCAATTATAGATTACATTTGTGAGAAAATAATATGATGCCACTGCATCTGGTTGATTTTTTCCTTGCTATTAAATTTGTAAAGGATAAAAAAAACGTGAGTTGCATCGTGAACTGTTATTCTATTGCTACTTGAGGTGGTAATCTAGTGATGTTGTGAGTCGGTTTCTGTTGGTAGATTTTTGTCTTCCTATTAAATTTGTAATGTATGTGTTGAGTTTCATTTTGAAGTTTTATTCTTATTGCTCTTGAGATAATCTGGTACTGTTGTTTGTCAGTTTTTATTCCTGATCCCTACAGGGTTTTTTCTACATAGCTGTGTTTTGATATCACCAAGCTTTAAGTTGATCCAAAGGCATGGTTACTTATATTGGAATCACCCAACAACTGGTGATCTTTTGATTTAGTTGTTGAGTTGAAGTGTGCTTGAAGATTTTATGAAATCGTTTCCTGTTTGGTATTTCTTTATTTCTCACCTAGTTCTTGTGAATTGATGCTATGAGTTGTCACAATTGTTCCAGAGACACGATGAGTTCAAGATTCAAGACATGGGATGTCGGATTTGCATTTGGAAATGAAAGAGAGGCAACGTTGGAGAGCTGAAGAGGATGCTTTATTACGTTCTTATGTCAAACAGTATGGTCCTAGGGAATGGAATCTTGTTTCTCAACGCATGAACACCCCTCTCAACAGGGATGCAAAGTCATGCTTAGAAAGGTGGAAGAACTACCTCAAGCCTGGCATCAAGAAAGGATCTCTCACCGAAGAGGAGCAGCGCCTTGTAATCCGGCTTCAAGCAAAATACGGCAACAAATGGAAGAAAATTGCAGCAGAAGTTCCAGGTAGAACTGCAAAGAGGTTAGGCAAGTGGTGGGAAGTGTTCAAAGAGAAGCAACAAAGAGAGAAGAAGGAGCTCAATAGAATCCCTGACCCCAGTAACAATAGCAAGTACGAGCACATACTTGAGTGTTTTGCAGAAAAACTAGTCAAGGAACAGCATCCTTCACCTTCATTTGTTATGACTGCTTCTGATGGGACATTTCTGCGTACTGATACACCAGCACCTGCATCAGCCTTGCTTCCTTCTTGGCTTTCCAATTCAAGTAGTGCTGCTGCTGCTGCTGGTCCAAGTTCCCTTTCTGGGACACTCAGTCTTTCTTCTGCAACAGTGGCTGCAGCTCCATTCTCATGGTTGCAACCTGATAGGGGACCAGACATTGCTCCTTTTGCTTTGGGGAATATACCAGCTTTCAGTGAAAATATGCTGATATCTCAGATGTTGGAGCACTGCAAAGAGCTGGAAGAAGGGCACCGAGCTTTGAGTGCTCACAAGAAGGAGGCAGTTTGGAGGTTAAGCCGAGTGGAGTTGCAGTTGGAGTCAGAGAAGGCGAGCCGAAGACGGGAGAAGATGGAAGAGTTTGAAGCTAAGATTAGGGTTCTTCAAGAAGAGGAGAGAGCTGCTTTGAGCAGAATTGAAGCAGAGTATAGAGACGAGTTAGCTGCATTGAAGAGAGATGCTGAAAACAAGGAACAAAAGTTGGCAGAACAATGGGCTGCAAAGCATTTGCAGCTTACTAGGTTGCTAGAGCAGATAGGATGCAGAGCAGGGCACCTTGAACCAAATACAAGATGAAGATATCTTTTGGAAAAATAGATTTGGTGGTTCTCTTGTGACTTCCACTATATGCAGTTTACAAGATGATGATATTTTTATGGTGAAATGGATATAGGTGTTTTTGTGACTTGAATTATTTCCAGTTTATGCTTGTTGTGATCTTGGTATATTAGTGTTGTAGTTGTGTTATATCTGTTCCTACAACTTGAGTAATTTCCTTAAGCACTTGAATTATAGTATCACTTCCATGTATGTGACTTAGTTATATTGTTCACCATACTTGCCTCCAAATTCTTTTCTTGGAGTGGCATTAGCTGAAAGGTTATATGTAATTGTATCTAATCTTTAGACATGTTTGAAGCTTTGTCACAAACACTCTAGAAAGAGAAAAAAAAAATGAAATGATTTATTCCATTGCATAAAATTAGTTTACCAAGAAGTTCTTCATTTTTTTTTAAATTCTTGTTAGCATAAGTCGATTTCAACATTTTCTTTTTTTTTTTAGAAAGTTTGTTTCTTTTTCCTTATATTTTCTCTTTAGAAATGCTAATGGGGAAATTTGACTTGAGAAAATAAGGAGACTAAACCCTAACTTTTTTTTAGAAATGCTAATGGGGAAGTTTGACTTGAAAAACTAAAGAGGCTAAATCCTATCTTTTATTTTTAGTGTTTTAAAATGCTAATGGGGAAGTTTGGCTTGAAAAAAAAATAAAGAGACTAAACCCTAGCAGAGTATTGAATTAGTGTAAAAGTTTTTCAGAAACAAGTTCACTCCAATCAATCTCGAGATCGGTAAGAAAACCTAGAGTTTGGTTGTAAATATTAAAAAAAAAAATTTAGCTCCCTTTTTAATTCGTTTGTATCATGAAAAATATTTTAAATTTTTACAGTTGTGTCCTTTTTTGACCTCTTTTTTAAGACTAGAATATAATTCTGAACGTTAAATTTATATACCCAAATCATTTTGAAGTATTTTGGGAAATCTAGAATTTTTTTTTTAAAGAACTAAGTAGTACACTTTTGTTAAGTTTTCTTTTAATGGGATCTTAACCACTTTTATTTTGCTCTATTAGAGTCTAATGATAATTCCTAAATATATAAGATCGATAGGTCCAACCTAATACAAGGTTTAAAGAATAATTCTGATCTATTATTTCAAATAGTAAAGTAATATATATATATATATATATATATATATATATATATATATATAAGGATCCTATAATTCTTCATCTATTAAAGGAAAGGAAAGAATGACAGGTGCACATATCTGCATAAATTATAATAATTCTAAATTATAACTAACACAATATTTGATTGCCTAATATCCCTTAATAGAATAATTGTCATATCTTAACACCCGCACTCAAGTTGGTGCATGGATATCATACATTCCCAACTTGAATAAAGACTCATTAAACAATCTTCTTGACACTCCTTTGGTAAGAACATCAGCCAACTACAATTCTAATCTTACAAAAGGAAATGAAATTATTCTAGCTTCAAGCTTCTTTTAATGAAATGTCTATCAATCTCCACATGCTTTTTTCTATCATGTTGCACAGGATTGTGAATAATTGCTATAGCCGAAGTATTGTCACAGTACAAACTTATAACTTCATTTGGTTTAAAGCCCAAATCTGATAGAACATTTTTAATCCACAAAAGTTCACATACACCAAGTGTCATGCCTTTGAATTCTGCTTTAGCACTAGATCTTGCTACTACAAGTTGTTTTTTACACCTCCAAGTTACAAGATTCCCTCCTACAAAAGTAAAGTATCCAAAGGTAGATCTTCTATCATCTTTTGAACCTGCCCAATATGCATCAATGTACCCTTCTACCTTTAAGTTTCCATGATTTGTTAACAAAATTCCTTTTTCCGGAGCAGACTTCAAATATCTCAAAATCCTCTCGACAACATCCATATGAAGCTTTCGTGGGTCATGCATAAATTGACTAACAACATTCACTGCATAGGTGATATCTAGATGTGTATGGGACAAATAAATTAATTTTCCTACCAACCTTTGGTATCTTCCTTTGTCTATGTTTGCTGAATTTGAGCACTAAAAGAATTTATGATTTTGTTCAATTGGTGTATCAGCTGGTTTACTCCCAAGCAACCCAGTTTCTGATAGTAAGTCAATAGTATATTTTCTTTGGCATAGAAAAATACCATGTTTTGATCTAGCAACTTCAATACCCAAAAAATATTTGAGGTTTCCAAGTTGTTTCATCTTAAATTCAGATGCAAGGTATTGTTGTAAACTAGAAACTCATCTTGGTCATTTCCTGTAACAATCATGTCATCTACATATATAATCAAAGTTGTAATTTTTCCTTTTTCTCTCTTAAAAAATAAGATGTGATCAGAGTTACTTGCTCTATAGCCAAAAGTCTTCATAGACTTGGTAAACCTTCCAAACCATGCTCTTGGGGATTGTTTTAATCCATATAGAGCCTTCTTTAATTTGCAAACGTTCATTCCAATTGAATCTGTCATGCCTGGTGGAGAATCTATATAAATTTCTTGTGAAATTTCTCCGTGTAGAAAAACATTTTTCACATCAAATTGTAGAAGAGGCCAATCTTGGTTTGCAGCTAGCGACAAAACTATTCTTACAGTGTTGAGCTTGGCTACCGGTGCAAACATCTCTTGGTAATTTACACCATAAGACTGAGTGTAACCTTTAGCCACAAGTCTTGCTTTATACCTCTCAATAGTTCCATCAGCTTTATGCTTAATTGTAAAGACCCATTTGCAGCCCATAGTTTTCTTCCCTCTTGGTAAGGACATAAGATCCCAAGTGTTGTTTTTTTTCTAAAACTTTCATCTCCTCAACCATTGCTTTGGTCCATCTAGGATCTGCCAAAGCTTCCTGTATATTACTAGCAATAGAATTTGAAGATAATTGGGATACAAATGATGCATAAGACTGAAATAACCTGTGAGATGACACATATTTACTAATGGGATATTTAACTTTGATTTGGAGGTCTGGTTCATATTTAGCTGGAGGTTGACCATGGTTAGAACGAGGTGGAAGAATATATTGAACAGTAGTAGACTCAGTGTTTGGTGTGCTGGTGGTCTCACGCAGACAAGAATCAATTTCATGATCAATTTCATCTAAATTAGTGTTATCAGAGATATGATCAGAAGGTACCTCTGAAGAGTCAAGTTGAACCTGTGGAGAAGATTGAGTCAATTGGTTATGATCAGAAGACACTGTATTATCCAAAATAGAAGTGTCCATATTTAGGATTGGCTCACTTCCTACAGAATGATCCTCACACAATAATTTATCTTCACAATATAATTTGATATCTCAAACATACTAACATCATGATTATGCACTTCACTTTCATTGCCTCCTGAAGTATGGAATCAACATAAAAAAATTCATGTTCATTAAACATCACATCCATATAAATATAAAATTTCTTAGATGGTGGATGGTACGCACGATAACCTTTTTGAGTTGATTCATACCCAACAAAAACACATTTCATCGCTCGTTCTTCAAACTTTGTACGTTGATGTGGGTGTAAGTGAACATATATAACACATCCAAAAATATGAGGTGGTAAATAAACTATGGGAGGAAGGATACAATGATAGAAAAACACCACAAAAGGCCTTCAAAAGTTAAGCGCACTAGAAGGGGTTCGATTAATTAAATAAACAACAGAGCTCACAGCTTCATCCCATAAATGAGATGAGACATTACCATCTATCAAAACTGATCTTGTCACCTCTAATATATGTCTATCTTTCCTCTCAACCACTCCATTTTATTGTGGTGAATAAAGACATATAGTTTGATGCAAGATGTCTTTAAAGTTCATGAACTCTATTAATTCAGTCTTAAAATATTCCCCTCCATTGTCTGATCGAATAACCTTAATAGACGTGTTAAATTGTGTAACGATAAGATGATAGAAGGAACGAACCACATCACACACATCACTTTTATGTTTAAGCAAATATACCCAAGTTACCCGAGTACAATCATCAACAAAATTAATAAACCATTTTTTTTCCATTATGTGTAGATTGTGGAGCAGGAACCCAAACGTCTATGTGAATTAATGAAAAAGGAAAATCAGTTTTGTTATTGCTTAAAGGAAACACAAAAAGATGATTTCTTACCATAACACATGTTTCACACAAAAAAATCAGAAATATTGCATTTATGAAATAGTGATGGAAATAATTTTTTTAAATAACCAAAAGAGGGATGTCCCAACCGTTTATGCCATAACCAAATTTACTTTTTTTTTTATCTTGTATGTGATCATTCGCAAGACAAGCCAACCCTCTTTTATGGGTTTGTTGTGATACATTTTCAAAATAATACAGTCCTTCACTCTCTCTACCACTGGCAATCTTCTCCTTGGAATGAATGTTCTGAAAAAGACAATGGGTTGGGTAAAACAAGACAACACAAGAATGTGATTAGGTTAACTTGCTGACGGAGATAAGATTACAATTTAATGTAAGAACAAATAAAACATCAGGAATTGATAAGGAGGGTGAAAGGGATACAGTACCTATACCTTCAATAGGAAATGAGACTCCATTGGCATTAATAATAACAGTTTTAAAACAATTAGAGAAAAAATTAGTAAATATATGAGGATCACAAGTCATATGATCAGTAGCACCTAAATCAATTATCCAATTACTACCCTTAGTAACAATAGAAAGATTAAGGGCAGAGTTAGATATACCTGACTTGGTCACAAATTCGGCAGCAATAGAAATATAACTCTTGGAACCGCGGAAGTTCCAGAATCATGTTTCTCCGATTGATTTTTATCGGAAGAAGCCATCAGAAATATTCAATAAAAAAGAAGAAGCATTGATTCCTATATTGTAGAGGATATCAGTGTTTGGCTCTAATACCATAATACAAGGTTTAAAGAATAATTTTGATGTATTATTTCAAAGAGTAGAGTACCATATATATACATACAAGGATCTTATAATTATTCATCTGTTAAAGGAATGACAGGTGCACAAATCTGCACAAATTATTATAATTCTAAATTATAACTAACACAACATTTGATTGTCTAATATCTCTTAATAGAATATTTGACATATCTTAACACAACCTTCAAATTGGTTAGCATGAATATCGTGGTATTATTGTATTATATGTTAGTTGAGTTGTGAAAATGTTGAGTTTATTATTGTTATATTGTTTGTTCGTGATTGTGAAATTCATTATATTTTCATAAATTGTATCTTATATTTTACTTATGAGAGTTAAGGTCATAGAAAATATTTTACAATGTTTAGAATATTGTTTTTATTTGGTCTAATAGAGATACTAAAGAACATAGTCTAATAAGGTCCATTAAATCTCTTTATTATGGAATAGCACAAACTTACGTCTATTAGAGTAATATCTCCATATCATAATTAAAATCGATAGTTTGATATTATGATTATTATTTATGATGAGGTATCCTTTTATTATTATTAATTAGGTTTAATATCTATTTTTGTCCCTATATTTGTCACTTTTGTTCAAAAGGGTTCTCGATTTTTTCAGCTTTCAAAGTGGTTCATTCTTTTTTAAAATTTGTTCAATTTGATAATTTTTGCTGACGACAACTAAATCGTTAACAACATAGTATCCACCTTAGCTAATATTGAATAAACTATCAATTTTTCATGTACATAGCAAGTTAAAGGAATATCATGTGAAATTGTGGTAATTGAAAGTAGTTTGTGTGAAAGGAATTTCCTTTGTTTTCGAAGGAGAAGCCTAGGTTAGGTAAGGTAAGTGTTCTTAACTTGAAGTTGTGTGTGTTGTATTGGTGATTTTGTTTGTCAACCATACACCTGGGTTTAAGTGGAGGAATGAAGACGGGAAACAAAAGCCTCTCCGAAGACTAACAATTTTGAGAACTTATAATTTTTTATTTTAATATTGAAGAAAAAGTATATCTCCTAGAGGTTTCGTTCAACTTTATAATGTCCCTTTAAGTCACAGTTTGAACAGCACTAAACAAGATTTTTAATGACCTTATGCCCTTTACATATAGGGTGGACTCCTTTGAAGATTTTCAAATGTAAGTATCTTATAATTGAATGCTTCTTAAGCAGGTGAGTTCCCTGTTCATATTTTATCACCGAGGCTTTTTTAACTGCTGATTCAAAAGGTGTACTTTCAATGTTTTTCATTTCTAGAGTTGTCTACCTGTATACAAAGTGTACAACAATTCTGTACTTTCAACTACTTTCATTTGAATAATGTTCATAACTTCATGTTTAGATTTGTCTATATTTCGTGAGTTCTCCCAAAGAAAGAAAAAGTTACGCCTAAGGTAAGGAGCATTCTCTTGTCATGAACATTTTTCTTTAATGAATTATAAGTTCTTTTTTACAACTAATTACCAAACAGGATATTTGGAGAATGTCACCTACAAACAATCAAACAAGGGCATCTTCTCTAAGGCCTCATATCAGATTACTCTCTGCAAATATGGCACATACGAAACAAGATAAACAAAATTTTGCATTCCAAACCTGTACTAACTAAAAGGCAAACACTTTATCTTCAGTATGGGCAATCTCCCCATAGCATTTCTGGTTTCAGACTTCTGAGACATGACAGATAACAGCACCCCAGCGTCATCATCAACTCACTTGATCCAACAGACGTTTTATCTTTGCATGCATATTTACAATTGAAAAGGTAAGATAATTAAGATATAAACAGGCAAAGAAAAGGTAGTTATAGAACAAGAGGATCACAAAGTAATAACCATTTCTGGAAAGAAACAAAGCACGGAAATTAAAATGCCGAATGCAAGAAGACACAATCATGCTCAAAGCTGTTAGATATATCAATTTTCATATGTAAAGCTACTTTATATATGGAAAATGTTATTTGGACAACAAAAGTTTGACACAATTTTGACAACGGCGACGTGGCAGCTGTGCATTGGCTCAGTGAATTGAAAACAAACCAGAAAAAACCCAAAATACCCCTCACCCCGGTTCACTGAGCCAATGCACAGCTGCCACGTCGCCGTTGTCAAAATTGTGTCAAACTTTTGTTGTCCAAATAACATTTTCCTTTATATATTTGGGTAGCATGCATATACGTTAGAGAACAATGTTCATGTTCCAAACATGAAGTAACACCTGTTCAGTCATACACTATTTGCAACAATTTTGTACAATTTCACTAGGATGTATAAATAAAGACAAGTGCCCAAATTCCAAGACTTACCTATATAATGTTTAAATACTCATTCAAAATCTTGGGCATACTGAACATAAGAAAAAATGACAAATCAAAACCATTATAATAATGCAAGTTGAAAACTACTTTGGCATGAAATTACTCTATTTTGCATGAACTGATTAAGATGATATATAATCAGTAAAGAGTTAAATAGTCGACCTCTTTAAGACCATTTACTGGAGCATATATGCGCTAATTTCTAGTGGCAGAATTGATAATTCATAGATTATCAATCCCTTATCCAGTCAGCAGCAGCATCCCTATTTCATCATTCACTGATATTTTGGCAGACATTAGTAATCAATAATGATAAAATTCTATCACCTGCATTTTATTTTCCCATTTATTCCCTTTTTGTACATTTGCAGAGACACAGCCAAATAATCCATCGGAGCTGAATCTGGGCTAGGTTGCAGGCTTGTGGCTGTGGTCAGCGACTATGAGTGACCTCAAAGGCACCTGAGCCCATTGATAGCTATCCACAGAGCAATGCTCAAATAGGTTGATCCTTATGTGGAATATAGAGATATTATTGCCATCTGTACAATTTAAAATGACCAGTACTGTTAGAAAAACAGCGGAAAGGAAAGATAGAAGTAAACGGAGAAAAATTGTATTTCTGTATTTCTGAAAAGTTGCTTACGATGAGAAAGGATACAACTATTTACAGAAGATGCTTGTACTTTCCATAACCATAATGATAGGATTTGGAGGGTTTATGAGAGGAGAAGGAAGAATGAGAGAGAAGTTAATGAGATATAACTGTTTTAACAGTTAGGTGAGGCGGGAAATAAACACTCTAATAAATAGAGCTTCTGTATTTTGTAAAGGGAGTTTTTTGAAATTCTTTTGTAAAGACAAGAACCATGATCCAGTGGAGGGGGAATTAGGCTCCCATGGAGGTGATAGGGTTGTACATTGGTTGAGACATTAATACAGATACATTCTTTTTACCATCTGGATTCTTGTTTGTGCGTGTGTGTGTTGAGTTCGATAGGTTTCCTAATCCAGAAACCTATCACATAACAATTCGGTCCCAATTCAAAACCCAATTTATGGTTTATAATATTTACTTGTAAAAAGCCTAAAAATAGTCTCCCACAAAATAGTCACCTTGCCCTCAAGGTGAAAAGAAGGAAACTGCTTCATGATGGCTTTCATGGGTTCCCATGGGGCTTGAAATGCTGGTAGGTCAGTCCATTGGATTAGCACCACAGCAGTTCCTTGGGAATATAATCATGGCATCTTACACAATCATTAATTTCAGCAAACTGATCATTGAGAATGGTAACCCTGGCCTCAATTTCAGATCCAATAAGTTCTCTCCGGCTGGACTCATCTGGCATCAGATACTGTTTTTCTGTAAAGCAAACTTTTTCATTAATTTGCTTTTTCAGAAAGAACTTTTGATCTTCTGAAAATGTCTAACTCAGTTTTTGGAGAACCCATATCAAGCTAATGTTTTCAAATGATGAGAACAGGGAACCCAATTCCCAATAATCTATGAAATTTGGAAATTAGAAAAAAAAAACTACTTTTGAGCATTCCCATAATGACACAGAATGTAGCCGTCTGCTAAACCTCAACATCTTCATGAAGAGATCTTATTTCCAGCAGAGCATCTCCTATATTTGCTCTCAATAATTCTAGAATGGTTGTGATATGTTCACTTTGTGGATGAGCCTGATCCCCAGCAACAAATGCATTTAAATGATCATTGACATTAATCCAAGACCATCCTCTTTCCTTTATTACTCCCTTTGACTTCATTAACTTTCTTATATCTGCAACTTCCTTCCATCTCCCCTTGGCAGCATATATGTTAGCCAGAGTAATATGAGTTCCAGCTGAATTTGGATCTAACCGAAGCAACTGTTCAGCTGTCCATCTTCCACGGTCAACATCTCCATGCTCTCTACATGCCCTGAGTAAGGTAGACCACACAACATCATCAATATGGAATGGCATAGTTCGTATTATGTGCTCAGCTTCACTCAATTGCCCTGCTCTGCAGAGAAGGTCAATGATGCAACCATAGTGTTCTTTTGAAGGACTGATCTTGTACTCATTAGTCATTTTCAAAAAATAGAAGAGACCAAGATCAACCATTCCAGCATGGCTACATGCTGTCAGAACCCCGATGAATGTCACATAGTCTGGCTTTAAACCAACTCTAGAAATCTTCTCAAACAAGTCAATGGCCTCTAGGCTATAACCATGTTCAGCATATCCATTAATCATGGCTGTCCATGATATAATGTCATTCATTTTCAAACTGTCAAAGATTTTTGACGCATCTTGTACACTTCCACATTTTGAATACATATTAATAAGAGCACTATGAACCATTGCTTCATGATCTATGCCAATGCAAAGTACATGTGCATGCAACTGTTTCCCTTGCTCAAGAAGTGCCATGCTTCCACAAACACTCAGTATGCTAGAAATAGCAAATTCATTTGGTTTTGGCCCTTCCCTTCTCATCCATGATAGATAGTCAAAAGCTTCTTTTGCATAACCTCCTTGAGAATAAACAGCAATTATAGTGCTCCAAGATATAATATCCTTTCTAGTTATACCACGAAACACTAATGAAGCTGAAGTCAGCAGCCCACATTTTGAATAAAGGGTGATGATGGAATTTGCCACTGACAAAGCATCAACAAAACCAAGACGGAATACATGACCATGTATTTGTTCCCCCCATTTAGCAATAGCAAGATTTGCACAGGCAGAAATTATGGCTGCAAAAGTGAATTTATTAGGAGGGACATCTGATTTTCTCATTCTTTTAAATACTTCCACTGCATGTTCCTCTTCACCCACCTGCACATATGTCGTAATAAGATTTGTCCATGAAACTACATCTGGCATCCTCATTTTTTCAAACAATCGCACGACATAATCTGGTTTTCCACATTTATTATACATGGTTGCTAGAGTATTAATCACAAATGAGCTCTCATCAAATCCTTGTTTTATTGTTTGTGTGTGTATGGCTTTCCCATGATGTAAAAAACTCAAATCAGCAGAAGCTTTTAGAGCAATGGAAAATGTATGTGAATCATAGCCCACTTTTGATCTCCACATTTCAGAAAAGTACCACAGTCCCTCCGCACTGTAACCCGCATGTACAAGCCCTGCAATAATGGCTGTCCATGATACTACATTTTTAGCCATCATTTTTTCAAAGACTCTGCAACCTTCTTCTATTTTTCCTACTTTCATGTACATATCTATCAGGGCACTGCTGACAAACACTGAGGTTATCAAACCAGATTTAACTGAAAATCCATGTAGTAATTCTCCAAGGCAAATATTGACACCAAGTGCACATGCCTTGAGTGTAATACTAATCATGAATTGATCTATTTGAAGTTCAGGCTGGACCCACATATTTGAGAACAGGAACAAAGCTTCGTATGAATCTGAGGCATTGACATAACCACCTATTAATGTAGTCCACGAAACCTCATCTCTGTGATCCATTTTCTCAAACATATTCCTAGCTTTACAAAGTTGTCCCTGTTTCACTAATTGCTTCATTTCAGCGTTAACTTCAATCATATTATGAACAGAATAGACAATTGGAGCTAGCTGTTCTCGTTTTGCCCGCTGGATAAATTCAGTGGCAGTTCCTGTAAATAAATTGTTAGAAATATGATTTAAAACCATTCATGTCTCCTTATTCAACAGCTTCATTGACTTAAAATCAGAAACCCTCAGCCTAAGATGACACCAACCTGATCAAAATCTTCTATTATAAGCTAAAGAAGGGTAGGGGGTAAAACAACAATTAGCACTACGCTCCAATCACGTAATAAAATAAAGACCTAAAGTGTAATTTTTTTTCTCGGGCAAGTTGGCTAGCTAGCCATAACATACGAATTTCAAAATGACATACAAACTGACAGAACTTTCATCTACGAAGTTAATAAGGAAGCCACGTGGCAGCCAATCAGTTTAATTCTGAATAATTTATCACGATTTTTCTTTATGGCATTAATAGTTAGTGGGTGCAAGGCATTTCTACAAATAAGCAAACTCTAAACAGAGTTGGGCACGCTAAAACTTCAATTACGCAGTTCTTGCAATCTTTTCCCAAATCAATATCATTTGTCGGATTATATTCATGCTTGAGAATCTCAAAGTTCTGTAGTTCAAATAGTTCCTCCTAGTTCTAAATTCATCCAACTTATAATATTAATCAACAACAGAACAAAAATTAAAAAATAATAATAATAATAATAATAATAGACCGTGTTGAGACGATTCCTAGATCAGTTTCAACAATCACAACAAAAAATAATGAGCGCGCACATTCACCTGGAGTGGAACAACTGAGAGGTGAGTCGAGGTTGCTTGAGAATAGGGCCGCCTTTGGATTGCCAGAAAATGGAGGGCGAAGTGCGAGAGCAAGGGAAGAAACATAGCGAGAATGCAGCCAAATGTCTCGGTGGGAGAGGTTAAAGTGTTTGAGGAAAAGGCGCATCCTCGCTATTGCTTGTTTCTTTGGCTTGAAACAACGGGCTTTGCGGCTTGCTTCCGACCTAACACAGTGTCTCAAGGCGTTAATGTAAGTACTTCTCAAGTGTTTGTAGAATAGAAAGAAACAGTAGATTGTATTAATATACCCCTATTTTCCTTTGCTTAATAAATTATTTTGTCCTCGTCAAATTACTCCATCCTTTAAAAAGTGCGTCAATTATGTCTTTACTTAATAAAATTTATATCAATAAAATATCTTCCATTAAATTCGTACAATATTAACGCCGTTTATACGGATTTAACGGAAGAGATTTCATTTATATAAATTTTATTAAGTAAGGATGTAATTGACGCACTTTTTAAAAGATGGACTAATTTGACATTGTCGAGCGAAACTGGAGACAAAATAATGTATTAAGCCTTCCTTTTTTTTCAAACTATTTCTGTCGTCTACTTTTTTTCTTTTTTTAAATTCTTTTATTTTAAAATATTAAATTAAAATTTATTTTTATTTTACAAGTATAATTTCTTAAATTTTGAAAACATTACCTTTATATCTGGCAAACAGTGTCAAGAAAACCACTGTAATAATGAAAAAAGAAAAATAGAAGATGTACATGTAAATAGGGATGACTAAACAAGAAAAGTGCAAGCTTTTCTATCATGATCTCCTAAATTTTACTCGCATCCTCGTTCTTACAGTTATTAAACTTCTGGGAGTTATGTGTAAAAAGAAATTAACTCATACAAATAACATGCTATTTCAATAATATAATCAAGTAAAATAGTTAAAAAAACGTATATATAATTAAATAACTACATTTAGTAGTAAATAATTATTATATAAGTTCAAAGCACTCCAAGTAAATAAAACATTATAAGATATATAGTGATAGAAATTGAATAACTGGAAATGGACAAATATTAAGTATTTATGTTAAATTATCTAATGACATCCTCCTCTTCCCATCATTTTCATTTTCAAAAGTTATATTAACAAGATAAAGTGTATTGAGTTGGATACATTGTTCTTACATATAAGTGAATATTGTCATCATCATATTTATTGAGTTTATTCGGAATCAATATTAGTTTCCTCTTCGGTTATTCATTTATCATTTGACTCAATTATCAAATAGAAAAATAATGATTTTTTTAATTTGTTTTTTTTTCAACTTCAAATTATATATCACATAGACCAAATCGTTCATCTTGTTTTTATGTAAAATAGTTTCTTTTTTCATGAACTAATGATTCAATATGAAATTTTAGTAAATATATCAACCAAATAAAAAAAATATAAATTATAAGATTTCAATTGACTAAATTTCTGTACAAAATCTTTTACTTCAGTTCTTTGCAGGCTATAAAATCTTGACATTTTCATTTGTAACTAATGTTTGAACTCAAACTTTCTAAACGGATTCTGGCTTTTGTTGTTAGCAAAACCGAGACCGTATATGCTCTATGGCTTCAATTTGTCTCAAAAGTGGTGTCATAACATGTTTAAAAAATGGTTATTTTATTTTATTTATTATCTAATCATAACATATGACATCAGTTGTTTTTGAAACCGATGCCATAAAAATTTTATGCTTCAGTTGTAACGCAAACCAAAACCTAAAAGTTGGATTAAATTTTAAAATTATCACAAAAGATTTTTTTTAAGTAACTTTAGGAAACGGTTCTTAATAGAACCAAGACCATATCTCTTATATTGTTTTGGTTTTCTAAAGAACTAAGGTCGTATGTGTTCCAAAGTTAAAGAAAAAGAAATAACAGAGCATTGAACGATTTTCTTCTTCGTTCTCCTATGTGATTTGAAAACTAGCATTGTTGCTCCTTCTCTACTGCTTCATTTCACAGTTTAACGTCAGGTTAGTATATCCATCACCTCCTCTTCACGAAAAACATATAATTACTAGAACTATACTTAATGCTACAATAAGTTTTATATATCTTTTATACCTATTATCTAATGAGATATGCTTTAAGCTTTCATCAATCTATCAAACACACTTAATGTATCATATTAATTTTTTTTTCACTTTGATATTTTTTGGAAAGATTAAATACTACAAATAACTAGCTAAATAATATGTAATTTCCTTTTGAAAAGAATGATATTGATAAAAATAAAGGTTATTAAAAAATAGACAATTTTGATATAATTAAATTCAAGTTTAAGGTTCTATTATAAACACCTATGATCTTTCATGACAAAAATAATACCATACTTTTATATGTTTAACAATGTAATTTAATAAAACTAAAGTTTAAGAAGGTCTTGGATGCCTACATAATAAGCTTTCTTTCTATTCATCTTCCTTCAACTTAATAACTTTAAATTTTACTCTATTTTTTTTACGTTTTTTTAATCTCTACGACAGGATGCATAGGAAGAGGAAACCTATATGCGAGTAGAAAGAAAAAAAAAATTGATATGGAAAATAATAAAATGAATAATATATCTTAAGGTGACAAAATAGAATGTGGTCTGCAGTAAGTCAACCTATCAAAATTAGAAAGACTAAGTTAGAATTTTTAATTTATCAATCCGTTTTCGTCGTCTGGCGCGTCTATTTCACCAAATTGATAGGCTAAAGACAGGTCCATATATCTTGATTTACTTGCCTGTTTTATTTTTTATTTTTTATGTTTAAATTAAAAATAATTTAAATATTAAAATTTTTATATTATATATTTTTAAAGATTATATAATTTTAATATAAAACATTAAAATTTACAAATTAAATTTTAATTATTAATTATAATAAAGTAATTTAATATGAAATTTTAATTATTATTTAAATTTATCTAGTTAAAAATAATAAATAATTAATTAAAAGCTTAAAAAATATTTATATAATTAAATATGCTCTTAATATTAATTTATAAATATATATATATATATATATATATAAACAAATTTTAAAAATATATTTTTTTTAATTATAAAAAAGAAGTAACAAAACCAGCCTACCCTGTAACAGAACAATTTATAATTTTTGATCTGTTTTTTCTTTTCAAACTACTCCAATTTATCCTATTTTTGACAGGTCAAAAACGTCAATAACGAACTGTAATAAAATAACCGGCCCATTTTATTATCCTAATATACCGTATTGTGACATGACATATACTTAAGGTTTAAACCCTCCCTTGGTCCTCAAGTTTGTATGAAAATCTCATTTGGGTCCTCAAGTTTTTTTCTGTCTCAATTGGGTCATATTTTTTGTAAAAGTGAGCACATTGTACCATAACCGTTAAGTGGTGTGAGACGGCGTTAAATTGGTGTGAGCTGGATTTTTTCATTTACGGACGTGGCATTGTGCATTAAAATTGACTGTTTGTTGTGTTTTATCCACGTAGGCTACGAAGCCCTAACATTTAAGGGCATCCCATGTCATCCAAAGTATATTCTCGTGTTGGAGAGGATCGTGTTTCGTCTTGGTGAACCAGAGCTGGTGTCTTACGTCTTGAGGTGGTGGTAAGGATGTCTCGTTCATCTTCCTCTTGC